TTTTGTGTAATTTTTAAACGACTGTTAGTCACAGTTGTTAGACTTATCCCCTTTAATTGTGTTTTATTTTTTTATCCTCGAATAAAAAATATTTGACATTTGAAATAAAAAAATGTTTGTTTGGATTACTTTCCTTCATAAATCAGTATGATTTAAAGATTAGTAGAAATTGAATTGGACAAATCAGATTATGATTAAGAAAATATGATGATATTGCCTATTGTCTGTTTAAAGTATACAATTTTGATAAATAGGCAGCTGAGAATTGGAAGGGGGGGATTAAGAATGAATTTAATAAAAGAGCGTAATTCTGCCTAATTCACTTAGAGCTATTTCCATCATCCATTATCAATACGAGTAGCTCAATACCAATGACAACAAAAACGTATCTAGTCTGACGGGGCATATGCTGTCCCAGCTGCCATTTGGAGAAAGGCGGGGCACACCCTGTCTATCACAGTACACTAAGTACTTCAGCAAATACAACGAACTGTTAGCGTTATTATTTGCTCAGCTCTGAAATAGACAACTATCCTTTAAGCAACACTGCCCCCGTGCGGACGCAGGAGGTACAGCACGCTGTGCTATTGGGCGGTAGTGTCGTGATGTCACTTCCTGCATATGACTTTCCCCGGGAAGCGAGATTTGGCGCGGAGTGCTCTGTTGTTGTATTGACCTAACGTTTTGTCACACCGGCAAAACTTTGAAGAAATGGCTCCAGTATCAAACCCAGATAAAGACACGGACGCTTTGGACGGTGGTGAGTTTGTATGTCACTGTGGATATGTGCTGCCGTGTCCTGCGGGTGAAAGCGAAGTAGCTAGCTTAAACACCTGCTAACGCATTAACACCAACGGGATTCGACCGTTTGCACTGAATTTGTCTTTCTACTCTGTCAACTTGCTTTTGTTCTAGAATAGCTTAAAGTTGTTAATGTTTCAGTGAAGATAAATCACTGCTGGGCATGAATGGGTCGTTTAGAATGTTCATTTTTTAAATTAGTACGACGTGCAAGCCGAGAGAAGTGGAGGGGAATACTATGTTATTGCTGCCCCATTTAACGTGCACCATATTTAGATTTAAGTTACTATATACTAGAGGACCAAGTGACAATCTATCATTTGAGGCTGAGCACGCATAACAAAGGAGTATTGTAGAAAAATAGAACATGTAAGCCATATGTTTTATTGTATGATATACAATATTAGTTAATTTGTAAGTCCTTTGACATGTGCATTTTTGTGATCAACTGCATTTGTGAGAGCAGTGAAGTTGGAAAGTCAAGCTGATGGTGCAATGTCACTACAACATGTCTTTGACCTCAGATGACGGTGGCGATGCCTGTGGACTGGCAAAGTCTCGATCCAGGCGGGAGAAGAGGGAGAAAGTGGGGAGAAAGTCTGCGCTGGAGCAGCTCAAGAAAGCCAAGAGGGGTGAAAAGGTCAAGTATGAGGTAAGACAACATATGTGACTTGTTTACTGCTCTCCCCGCATCTTCTTTTTAAACCCTGAGAATCAGGAACAGCTTGATCGATGCATCTAAGAAAATTGGTAATATAACTAGATGGATAACAATGCTTGTTGCATCCCTGGTCATATAGGGCCCGTAGCCCATAGATGTCTGGCCTGGGAGTATTCCAACAATAGTTTACATTTGTGACGCACTAGTGTTAGTATTTATTGTTGACCCCCTTCAGGTGGAGGAGTTTACCAGTGTGTATGAGGAGGTGGATGAAGAGCAATATTCTAAGATGGTACGAGAAAGACAAGAGGATGACTGGATTATTGATGATGGTAAGCTCCCGTCTCTTGACGCCTGAGTGAAATGGGGAAGAAACCCTGGTTGCTAACTGTGCCCTTGCTCTTTCAGATGGTACAGGATACGTGGAGGATGGCAGAGAAATCTTTGACGATGACTTGGATGATGATGTTGTGGAAAGCAAAGGTAAATGCTGCGAGTGTAAGACTTCAAGGATGGGCAAACGGATGAGGTTGGATGTGTGAAGACGCTTTGTTTGGTTTTTGTTCAGGAAAACGAGGCGCTAAAGGAGAAGGATCAAAGAAAAATGTGAAAAAATCTGTTGTATCCAAACCCAACACCATCAAGAGCCTTTTCATGAACAGTAATGTAAAGAGGCCTATGGAGGTGAGTTTATTTTCCTTTGCTCCCACATTTCTGCATTCAGTTTAGTGTTTTGAACAAATTCCACGTCATGTTCTTTTTGACAAACGGCTAACTATCTTGCTCATACAGTTTCATAATTTTGTCTCTTGCAGAAAGATGTTGACCTGTCCAAAGATGACCTTCTAGGAGATATCTTACAGGACCTCCACTCTGAGGTTTGATAAAGCTGACCATCATTTTTCCTAGTTACCCAGTTATAAACTTAAGGATTTGTCCCAGAATCAAACAGATGATAGTCTTTGTGACACATTGTCCTCTCTATACCTCCCTGTCTAATCCCTCCTCAATATGTCATCCTAATTTCAGAAGGCGTCTCTTCTGACTCCTCCTCCAGTAGTCACTCTAAAGAAAAAGAAGTCTGTTGGTTCGCCCATGAATCCCTTTTCCATCAAACCTCAGATCCGGAAGGTACAGCCTGTTCATTGCAGCTTTCTGTTGGTTTGAGGAGCTGTTTGATTGTAATCAAAGGGTCTGTGGCCGGTTAAAAACGGTTAAGAATCTTGGTTCTGTATTTCTCGCCTGTCGCAACAGGAGACGCCATCTGCGGTGTCGTCAAAGGCCGGCGTCAGAGCACTTCCCGCTGACCCCGTTTCCAGGCCGTCAGCCCACCCCCTTCCCTCCACCTCTGCCTCCCCTCAGAAAAAGCAAAGGGCAGATGTGGAGGAGATAAAGGAAGAGGAAGGTGAGGAAGGTTTTCCATCCATTTATCATTTTTGCTATTTAACCACATGTCAAGACTATGTTAATTGAACATTTCTGATGATATGTTTCTCAGAGACTGACTCCCTGGCGTTTGATGGGGTAGACTTTGATGAGCCGATGGAGGTTGGGATGGAGGAGGAACAGAATGGTGCAGTTAATGATGACGCTGATCCAGAACCTAAAGCAGCATTGACAGTGGCTGAAGTCAAAGTGGAGCCCAAAGCTGAGCCATGTGGTCCACTTCTTATGTGAGTCAGCTGTTTTCAGCTTCTATTTCCCATAACGCGTTAAATAGGCTCTCCATTTGGTTTTATGACTGAAGGACAAGCTAACATCAGTCAGAGGTTGTGTGGACTAAGTCAAATAATTCATCCGAGAAATTATTTCCACTTTCAGAAAATAGAATTTCCTTTCAAAACTCTCTCCCCTAATAGTGGAGTTGGAGGCTCCTGGGGACAGGATGAGGAGGACAAAGTCAGTGAATCTCCTGCGGAGGTGCAGGTGGACTCCAGCCAGCTCCCGCTGGTGGAGGGGGCAGAGGGGGAGCAGGTCTTCCGCTTCTATTGGTTGGATGCTTTTGAAGACCCATACAACCAACCGGGTATGGTATATATATATATTTTTTTTTGCAAAGCCTGTGTAGGTTTTTCTAGCATGTTCTGATATTTAACTGTGGATTAGGTGTGGTGTACCTGTTTGGGAAAGTGTGGATCGAGTCAGCCAAGTCTCATGTCAGCTGCTGCGTTACTGTGAAAAACATTGAGCGGACAATGTACCTTCTACCTCGAGAATTTGTAAGTTATATTTTAAAGTTCTATCTATTTTCAAAAGAGAAACACATGCAACATGCTTTCATGTTTAATTTACGACTATGGGACACTGTAAGCCTATGAGATTGTGTTGTTTTTCTAAAATACATTGATTATAAAGTGAGTTCACATGCAGATTATATAGGTGTTTTTTCTTTCCTTTTTTTGTTCATTTCTAAATTACGTTTCTGCTGAAATGTAAAAGATGTACACGGCTAAGTTATGAAGACTCTTTCCTGCAATCAACAGAAAGTGAACCCCAAGTCTGGGGAGGTGTCTGACACACCTGTTGGGATAATGGACATTTACCAGGAGTTCAGCGAGCTCTCTGAGAGGTTTAAGATCATGAAGTTCAAGTCCAAGGTTAGTGCCCAGTGTTGGCATCAACTCTAAAGCATGAATGCAAGTTTTAGGAAGTTGGTTGGGGAATTCCAGAGCTCACGTCTGGTTTTGGGGTCTCTCTCTGTGCAGAAAGTGGAGAAGAACTATGCCTTTGAAATTCCTGATGTGCCTACCCAGTCTGAGTACCTGGAAGTTAGATACTCTGTGAGAATACACACACCATTTTAAGATTTTCCAGGCGTGTAGATTAGTCTTTTCTTATAATATCTGCGATCAATGTTGTTTTTGCAGGCCGAGTTCCCCGCCCTGCCATCAGATCTTAAGGGGGCAACTTTTTCCCATGTTTTTGGAACAAACACCTCTCGTCTGGAGCATTTCCTCCTCAGTAGGAACATCAAAGGCCCTTGCTGGTTGGATATAAAGACACCACGTAAGCAAGACCTCCATCTCTATGATTTATTCTGTTTGCCTAAACTGAGCACATCATGTAATTTAGTGTGAATTCTTTTCTCTTTTTATATCCATTAATATGTCTGCCGCAATGTATCCATGTGTCTCCGTCAGAGCTGATGAGCCATCCAGTCAGCTGGTGTAAAGTGGAGGCTCTCGCTGTGAGGAGTGATCTGGTCAGCGTGATCAAAGACCTGCCACCACCGCCTCTCACGGTCATGTCCATCAGCCTCAAGACGGTTCAGAACCCTAAAACCCACCAAAACGAGGTCAGTGCTGCCACCAGGTGCCCACTATTTCCCCTGTGAGTAGTTAATGCACAGTGGGCTGTAGAGTACAGTCAGGTCATTCGATAAAGCGCGTAAAATGAATGCATTTGTTAGTGTAGAGATTAGATGTTCCTTGAAAATCGCTGGAAAAATGAGTTAAAATTTGAAACTGTATTGGATCAAAATGAGCAGGGGAACATGTTCATGTGGCACATGTGCTGAGGGAAGAAAACCTGATTATTCCACATTGCAGGGCAGAGCACCGACTTAATAGAAAGTTAATACTGCCTCTTTTTCTCCGTAGATTGTCTCCTTAGCCGCTCTTATTCACTATCGCTTCCACATGGACAAAGCTCCCCCTCAACCTCCATATCAGACTCACTTCTGTGGTGAGCTAATGCTTGTTTTTTTGTTTAACTGCATAGAAACAGAAATTCCAGAGAACGTAGTCCCAGTAGTCCCATAAGTTATTACCAGTGAGTTATTTTTTTGTCCCCTCAGTGATCAGTAAACCAGGCGACTGCATCTTTCCGTACGACTTCAAAGAAGCTGTGAGAAAGAAGGTGAGTGATCAGGTGGCTATGAACCAGTTTTTTTGAACGGCCCTTATTTAGACTAGGACATTCGCTTTCGTGGATGTCTTTGTACAAACATACATTGGGGATAATTATTTTTACTGATTGTTTTTACAAGAGCTTTGTCTCTTTGTTAGAATGGGAAGGTGGAGATAGCTGCTACAGAGCGGACTCTGCTGGGCTTCTTCCTGGCCAAGATGCACAAGATCGACCCAGACGTGCTGGTGGTGAGTCTCGGACACCCCTTCCATATTTTTATTTGTTTTTTAAATTTTTTGTTTACCTCTTTTGATTAACAGTGAGAATATGGAATTCTTAGCTATGGCACTTAGACTCTTTTCTGAGATAAAAAATCTCAGTCAGACCTCACTCATTCGTTTATTGCCCCCTATAGGGCCATGACATCTTCGGGTTCGATTTGGAAGTTATTCTGCAGAGAATCAACGTTTGCAAAGTTCCCCACTGGTCTAAAATGGGACGCCTCAGGAGGGCCAATATGCCCAAATTAGGGGTGAGTGAACGAAAGAAAGAAAAAAAAAAGGTTTCAAGACGTAAGCGAGCAGCTGTTTCATGGCCTTGTTTTTCGTGCGCGCAGGGTCGCGGCTCCTTTGCAGAGAAGAGTGCCACCTGCGGCCGACTGGTGTGCGACGTGGAGATCTCGGCCAAAGAGCTGATTCGCTGCAAAAGTTATCACCTGACGGAGCTCGCTGCACAGGTGCTGAAGACGGAAAGAGTCACAGTCCCTCATGAAGACGTCAAAAATCTCTACAGGTGAACAGAAGCCTCACAAACTCTGTAAGCTGAATTTATTTTGCTTTCAAACTAAGTTTGGCCTAAAATCTGAGTGTTTGTGTGACAGTGACTCCCCCCACCTGCTGTACCTTTTGGAGTTGACATGGACTGATGCCAAGCTGATCCTCCAGATCATGTGTGAGCTCAACGTGCTGCCGCTCGCCCTGCAGATCACCAACATCGCTGGCAATGTCATGGTAACTCCCAACCCAGCCCGGGGCTCTAACAATCATCCGAGTCTTAATCAGATAGATTGCATAGAGTGTGAAAAAAAGATCAGCTCTCAAATAATCCCAGTGATGACATTTGTACTAATTTTGTTTTGTAAAATCAGATTACAAACTGTATAAAATGGAGTGTATTTCAGACTGCCCTATGGGCATTCCCGTCTGCTAACATCTCTCCACCACTTTCTTGCAGTCTCGCACTCTGATGGGGGGGCGCGCCGAGAGGAACGAGTTCCTGCTGCTTCATGCCTTCCATGACAAGAACTACATTGTCCCCGACAAACCATCTTTCAAAAAGACCCAACTGGAAATGGTAAATATGCACACAGACACATGCAGACGTCTCTCTTTTTTCCCTTCTTTCCTCCGTTCGGTTGTTTTACTCGTTATGATTCTTGTTTTTTTCCCATGCTTCAGGTTGAAGGAGAGGACGATGTGGATGCAGGAAAAGGAAAGAGGAGGAAGAAGGCAGCCTACGCTGGAGGTCTGGTTCTGGATCCTAAAGTCGGTAGGTGCTGTGGTGCCTTACTCATACGCCTTGGTTCAGGTCGTGCCTGTCATCGTATTCCTGATCCTCTCGAAACTGTAAACCTGTTCCTCATTCAGGTTTCTACGATAAGTTTGTGCTGCTGCTGGACTTCAACAGTTTGTATCCCTCAATCATCCAAGAGTTCAACATTTGCTTCACCACTGTGCAGCGGGAGGCCCAGAACTCGCAGAAGAGGAGGGATGTGAGTGAACCGCCTCCAGGCCAGTTTTCACCAGAGAAAAGTTCTGCCTTTTGATCATCTGCCCCCATGGTTGCAGGAGGACGAGGCAGAGGAGATCCCAGAGATTCCAGATCCCGACTTGGAAATGGGAATCCTGCCCAAAGAAATCAGAAAGCTGGTGGAGCGTCGAAAGCAGGTCAAACAGCTGATGAAACAGCAGGACATCAATCCCGATCTCTACATGCAGGTACACACACACGTTCACACACTGCGTGCTGCTCCACAGACCCAAACACGGGCGATTTTGCATTTAGGCTTTTTCTTTTTGAATAGAATCATCTGAGCTGTGTTATGAACAGGTCAGCTTTTTGCTGTTGGGAATAAATTCAAATGTCCAAAATGAGATGTTTTTGATTAGAAAAAGTTTTTAAAAAAAGTAAAAACCTCCAGAGAAGTAAAGGTTTTGTGTTATTATTTGTTCTCCAGTATGACATTCGTCAGAAGGCCTTGAAGCTGACTGCTAACAGTATGTACGGCTGTCTGGGGTTCAGTTACAGCCGCTTCTACGCAAAGCCACTGGCTGCTCTGGTCACACACAAGGGTAGAGAGGTGAGTCAAGTATATGCACTGTATATAAACACATAATTAACACTGTATCTTTTATGAAGATCCAGTGTCATGGCTGTGGAACCTTTGATATCCAATACAAATCCAGACTTAAGAAACGCTCGGAGTGCGTTCCTCAGTCAAGGCCACGGGCTTGACTGGCAGTTGTAGAAGTTATCTGGATCTGTACTACTATAGTTATTATTATTTAAGTTTTTCACATTTTCCCCATGCGGCACCTTGGTAGAAAGCTTGCTGTGATTCACCAAAGCAGTTTTTATATAAGGTTAGGAGTAAAAAGACAATCATTTGATTAAAAAAGCTGCAAACCTAAGGCTGGCCTTGGTGAAAACATGACAACTGCCACATCCATCCACAAGTGGGCGCTGCTGCATCACGTTCCACATTTATTCACGCAGGCCTCCTTTTCTTTCCCCTCATCTGTTACTTACTTTTCATCGCCCTCCTTTTTCCCCCTTTGGTCCCACCCTCTCATTTGTTACCCTTTCCCCTAACAATTTCTCTGTCATACCCCCCCCTCCCTTCCCACACCTTGTGCTCTTCTCTGTTCTAAATGTGACCATCCCTTCCAGTCCATTATGCCATTATGAAAGAGCTGATTTAGTGTCTCAACTATTAATAGCTCCATGTAAGTATTTTCCAATACCAAAATGCCACAGACGCACCATGAAAACTTACACTCTGTCCATGTAAAGTCTGATTGTGTAAGGAGTGATGGGCACGCACACTCAATAAATTGGTGCAAAGCAGCATGTGTTCTGGATGACATAAACAGCTAAAGCTGGTGTTGTAATTGAACACCTCCCACACACACACACACACACACTCTACCGGTGGTAGTACTCATGTTCTTTTAATGAGCTCTAACAGTACAAGTCCTCAGCAGAGGCATCAGGGCTTTGCCTCAGGGGAGTCCTTCATTAAGATCCCCTTACACACTCATTGTGCTCCTTAATAGAGGGCAGGGCAGTAACTCACTGTGCGTGTTTGTTATTTTGTCAGTCCATTTGTGCCTCCAGTCACGCTCAGTGTTCGGCTGGCAGAGCTACATTGTTAAAGTTGAGTATTTGATTCACTTGTCAGGTGGGAGTTTCTGTTCCCTAAACTTCCTGCTTATGCCTGTCAGCAGCCAGAGCCGGACGGGTTAATTACATTTTACCTCCTGCTCGCTTTACTCCATGTAGGAAGCATCAGTGTCTCAGACGAGAACGATACATATCATTATCTGAAACGGTGACGTTTTTTTCCCCAGACAAGTTCACTGTTGTGTTAAGACTGAATGCATTTTTTCTACTTTTATGCCTGTTTTAGTTACCAGATGAATCAACCAAAATGTATAACGACGGAGTCCCTGAAAAATCCTTTTGGTGGCCTGTTTCTCCTCAGGCTTCTTTTTCATAAACATTTCCACTGTGTAATAGCCCTCTTGATTGAAATGTAATGGAGTGTTTTCATTTGAAATATTTTCAAGTGTCGCGGTCACAAAACCTTCACAATTATTAAATCCTTACATGAGGTGTTTTGCTCTGCTGCCCCCTCTGCCCTGTAACTACATGAAGGGACACACTGTCCACTGATTCCAAATGTATGAAGATCACTGAGTTTGTTTTTTAGTATTTGGTTGATTTCATGCTGCAAAAGCTGCCACACCCAGCACACTGAATCTTTTATTGGATATATTTCTTTAGTATCACATGATCAAACCAAATGCTGTCATAGAGAGGATATCTGGCCATGGTCATTACAATCAGTTCAATTCTGATATTGATATGAGGTAAATCCTTATGACTCACAATGCAGGCCATTACACCATGCTGTTTGTTTGGAAAAAAAAGTGAAGGGGTAAGGTGTCCAAATAGATAAAGGGAAAAAAAACGTGTGGAAATATGCAGTAGAAGTAGGGCTGTTTGGTTTATGTGGGTTGTGTGCACAAGATTCTTATTTGGACAAACAAAGCTTCTCACCTCATGCAGAATGAGGAATTCTGGGTACTCATCAGGGCATACAAACCATGACACACACACTTTCAGCAGCAAACCACGCACAAGCCTTTGACGATACCCCGGTAAATAAAAACATACCTTATGGCAAAGTGTGATCATGTTAGTATTATGTTTTAACCATTAAAAGCTTTCATTGTGCCGAGTTACTGCTCTTAGGTTAAGAAAAACCCACATCAGGCTATGTGCTAGTCGTAATTTTTCTTTTAACCTAAGAAAGTAAGTGATTTAATCACAGGGGTGGCAGAGATCTTGTGATTTCCGTGACTAGATTGAGTTTGTTTTGCTCTTTAGATGAACAGCATTATAGCTAATGTACTGCACACAGCGTGGTCAGGAACTTTCAGCCATTGGTTCAAAATGTGAGGTACCGAGACACTCCCACTCAGTGAAAAGCAGGAAAAGCTAAATGTCTCAAGGTCAGTCTGATCTGTGTCGAGCACTCGACTCATGCTTCGACTTACCGAAGTGGCAGGAGATCCCACTTCTCATAATCTTAGTGTTTTGTTTACTTTGTATCTATGATCCTGGACACAACTCTATTTATACTGCATGTTGTGTGTTTGGAGAGAGCGGCGCATCAGCAGAACTCTCCTGCTGTTAAACCGAGCGGATTGAGGATAAATCATCTACAAGCAGCATGTCTTGGTTTGAGGACATGCTGTTTTTGAATAATTTAGCACTTTAGAAATCAACTATTTGACATTTGTATTTGTTAGAAACTCTGTTGCATATCTTTTGAAAATCCAAATAAAGGCACCGATATTCTGCCAGGTGCTGATTTTTATTTCCTCTCCCCCCTTTTATTCCTGCTTTTTTTGACAGTAAAAGATGGGGGTAACTTAGATTGTCCCCAGTGTCTGATCTGTCACGCCTTGACAGCGTGCGCGCCCAGTGAACCAGGAGAGGCAGCAGGATGAGCAGAACGAGCCACTTTTCCTGAATTTACATGGCCCTAAAGTTAATAGACTGTAAGCCAAGTAGTTCTCGGTAGTCTCCAAAAGCAGCGAGCCAGAAGAGCCAGCTGGCATTTATAGCTGCGTTTCTAGTGTATTTGTGGGTATTGCCATTTGCTCTCCTGCCCCCCATTTTAATCATCACATTTGCACTCTACTTTCATCTTATGATTTAGGAGGCTTTTTATTTTTATAATTGTAACACGTACCCTGATCACCACTCTGTCCGCAGTGTAAATCCGCCTTCCTGCCCCTCTGCGCCCCCCCCCCATCTGTCTGGACTGGCGCTCTGGCTGAATGTGCATGTGTCCTCTGTATTTATTGATTGGCCTCGCTCTCATCTTTCTCTCACTCTCATTTTAAATTGAGGCCTAACCCCCCATGAGGCAGTGCAGGTCAGCCGGGGGCCCTCAGCGGTTTGTCAGCCCAGAGATGGTACCCATGAGGTTGGACGGGGGGGGGGGTTTAAGAGGGTTGACAGACCCTTGGCTGTGGCTCCTCTGGTCGAATTTGCTAACTTAAGAGGGATGAAAGCCCCCACTTATCTCTTCTCCTGACTCTTGCTTGTGTTCCTCGGGTATGTCTTCAAACCGTCTGCCTGCCTGTAGACGTGCACGCACACACACAGAGACAGGGATCGGCACACACACACATGCACCCGCGCTTGTGTGACTGGCTGAACTCTGCCCTTTGTCGGCGGACCATTTGTTGTGGCCCTGCTCTGTCCTGGTATGCGTGGGTATTAAAAGTGGGGGGGATGATGGGTATTAAGAGGAAGGTGAAGGTTTAGGATTACACAGTCGAGGGGTCCACCGCAGATTGATGTCCCCCCTCGGCCCCCTCTGTGTTATTTTGGGTTCTTTTGTATGTTCGCCAAAGAGCGGTTTGGTGCTGAGAATCAGACGTATGAAACAGACATCTTCCGCACATGTGGTCGTAATGGGCTGAGGAATATTTTCATCTCAACGGGCAAACCCGCCGTCAGCTGCTTGTTAATGGCTCCCTGCTTTCACGGGCTGGTATTACCTGGCAAATGAGGAGAAACGCAAAGATCGTAGCATTCACCTGCTCATCTCCTGCAGGTTTTGTAATTGTCAGCGAGGCCATATAAAAGCTGACACACCAAGACGACCCCCCCCCCCCCCCCTGCCTCTAGTTTAGCGTTTGTGAGTCCGTGTTTATGTCCCCTTTAACGAGTGACGTTAACAGCGCCGGCCGGTGGAAGCTGCTGATTGTTGTGGATCGCAGATTGGTTTGACCTTTGTCCCTTTTGCCAGCAAATCTGACAACCATTAGCAGGTGTGTGCGCGTCTCAGGATGAAAGCCATTCTGTTGTAATTGAGTCTCTGTCCTTGTGTTTAAAAACAGCCTGACAGGAGCTCATCTTCGAGGTGATCGGGCGGCACGCAAAAAGCGAAGGATGGCCGCGGGCTTGTGTGACAGGGCCCGGGGCGCGCGGGGGTCAGAGTTTGGTTCAGGCTAAACCTCAGCGTGCGCACACGCATGGCTGTAATGAAGTCTAAGTAAATGTTGTTCCTCGTTCAGGCTCCGGATCATTCCGCCCCACTCAAGAACGACAAACCGTTTCTCAGAATCGGTCACAAGAATACCTCCAGCGCGCTATCCGGTCTCATATGCTGCCGCCGTCTGTCCGGCTCCGCGGCTAAACATCGTTGGCCACATTTCTCTCATTCAGGGACTCAGTCGCTGCTGTCTGCGAAGCGCGGGATCGTTTTTGCCTTTCCCTGAATTAGATATAAGAGTTTAAGCCGGCTTTTACCGGCAGCGGCGAGGAGTGTGTCTGCACACGGACGGGGGGGCAAGCCCATGGTGGGGGGAAATGAATGTTTCCAAGGCCCCGCAGTCCTCCTAAAGAGCTGGCTTTACTCCTGATAGAACTGGACTTAACAAATAGTCACATGGGAGCAGCGCGGCTATTTTGGCTACATTAGCTTGTCTGTTAGGGCTGACGGTGGAAGGGACAGGAGTTTAGAATTCAGTCTGCGGCGTTAGTAACACCTACTAATGAGGCCATGGGAGGGGGATCTAATGGCAGGGATTGCAATTGATAATGGACTGATCTGACATCTGCCGTCTTTATCGGGGTTGCTGGTGGTTGTAAATGAGTGGATAATTGGTAAATGGTTTTAACGTGCGTGAATGTAAAGCAAAAAAAAAATCAGTGTCGTCTGCTTCGCTGCAACCTGGCGTTGTTGCAAACCTCTCTAAAAAGAAGCAGCTTTGCTGAGTGAGTTTTGCGACCGAATGAGCACATAAGAGACTTCTGTGCCTGTCACCATGTGAGAAATGTGATTGGTGGCTACTTCGCGTATGCCAGGGCCGATACGGTGACATACCAGGAGGTGTCCCTCCCAACTTGTAATGCACCGTGTTTTAATTGACCAAACAACCGGAGGATTGTTGGCATTGTCGAGTTATTTTCAATCAAAGCCGGCATTTGCGATCTCAGCCGGTTGTATTAAATCAGACACAGCTTTACAGCCTATTGACCTTTCGAGCAGCAGACACGAAAACACAACTGTGGCATCTGCCAGGACAGGTGTCTGTGTGTGTGTGTGTGTGTGTGTGTGTGTGTGTTTGTGTGTGTGTGCGCTATGGTTTATAAGCACTCTTAAAAGCAAGTGGAATCATTTCTATTAAATTACTTTTTAAAATGTATTTATTTTTCCTTTGTGTGTGTGTGTGGAGACAAATGAGATTAAAACTCTCTTGTCTCTGTGTGTATGTTGTCCACCACCAGGCTCTGCCAGTGGTGTGTTCCTCCACTGGTGCTATTTGAGTCGGCCGACTGTCATCCCAAAATGCTTTTCATCTGAGTGCTTTTCAAAACAATCATCAGAGGCTTGGACTTCTTTCTCCTTTTTTTGGGCTTTGCCATCGAGGTTTGACATGCTGCTCCTGATCTGCTGATTAGCAGAAGTGTGTATAGTGAATCTGTGTGTTTAAGGCTTGAACGAGTGTGCGCCTCTAATGGCTGTACAGTATTTCCACAAAGTGGTGCCTTAAACGCCACCCCTAAGTCCCTTGTTTTCACTTACCGTTCTTTTACTAATCGTTAGCTTTTTTTCCCCCAAACACTATTGGGGAAAACAATTGGTTTGTAGGTGTTAGATGCTCATGGCTAACGTGTGGCTTGTCGCATTGTCTATGTTTTTTACTCGTGTGTGTGAGGGCCGCGGCCCGCCTGCAGCTGCTCTGCTGAGGTAAGGGAGGAAAAGCGAGCCCTCAAGCTGTCCTGGCCACCCTCTCGGAAAGGAAATTGTCACGGTTGTCCAACAAGCTGCTATATTTAGCGGTAGTTTTTGGGAAAGTATTCCGAAAAGCTGCAAAGTTGCCAACAATGAGGAGATATTGGAAGTGAGGCTGCAACTCGCCACCTTTCTGTGGGAAAGCGGCGTCCCGGCTGCCCCACTTCATGGTGGCTTTACATGGGAAACGGATCATCCAACAACATAGTCTGTTAGTAGTCTGTGGATTTCCTCCTCAATTGAGACTGAAACGCGAAGAAGACGAAATCGATTTGATGAGGAGGAGGCGGAAGTAGATTCTTTGAACTCGACATTGAAATTAGACTCTGATCTTGAATAGATAAATCCAAACAAAAGGATCAGCCACAGCCGGGAGAAGGCAAATATGACAACATAACTGGAACCACTCGTCAATTAGCGTGACAGGGTACAGTAACTCCCGGCTAATGGATACAGCGCGTGTGCAGGCACGCAGGTGCACACACACAAAGGCACAGGACGTTGTTAAAAGCACTAAATGAAAAGCGGGAGGAGGCGTACAAGCTGTGAAAAGTCATGGCAGACAGTAGTGAAAGTGCAGCACTTACAGTCAAATATTCAGGCGGGTATTAGAAATGTTGTGTTAAGGGGCTTTGTTAAAGCGTCAAACCTCAAATCTTTTGCACTCCTTCCAGATGAAGCTCCAGCTGGACTTTCAAACGCTGAGTTTTTTTTTTTTTTTGGCCCTAGCTGCACCAGTCGGCTGGGCAGAATTTGCTATTCCTCATGGATTCGCCCTCCTGAACATCTCCCTCTCGGTCACTTTGCAGCACCTTTCGATTGTTACAGACCACTGTTGCTCCATTTAGCCAAACTCCAATTTTCTGCTGACCTGAAGCCAGCGTCCTCGAGTCTCTGAGATTTGTTGGGTGCATTATGTTTTTGAAAACGGGCCACACAAAAGAAAAATGTCACTTGTAAGTTGAACTACGGCAGTAATGCAAGAACACTCCACAGCACTCACGCTTAAAGCCTCACATCCAAACTGGATGCATCTGGAAGGGATCAGAGCCGCGGGCTGCCATGTCTTCAAGCCGGCGCCTTTAACAACTGAGATTACTGGCTGGAAAAAGTTTCCCCTTCAAACTTGCTTAAAGACATTTAAAAGAAAAGTTGACGACGGCGTGTTTGCACACAGTGGAATCAATTCTGCTACGAGGAGGACAAATTGTCATTTAATCTCAATGCAAAGTGACACCTGCACCCTCACCTGTTTTGTCGCATGAGAAAGGAAGGGGGGTGGGGGGGGGGGATCAGGAAAACAAAGAAATTCTGCCTATGCTGCTCAGAAATCCTCTGTCATGATCCCTCACTCCGTGGGAGCACTTTTCAGTGAGCTGCTCAATTACTGTCCGGTCTAATTACCGTTTATTAACACCAGCGAGCCGAGAAGGGAAAGAGGCAGGAGCCGAAGGGCCGTGAGTGATGTTCTCCAGTGTGAGGGGAAAAGAACGTTTTACCAGATTTTTTTTTACATTTACAGAGTAGGTGGTGGGTAAATGAAGTCAAATAGAGCAGAAAGACAGTTCGAGGATATAAAGTGCAACCAGATGTATCATTAGGTCATCTTAAGTAGGCTAAAAGTGAGAAGTGCCCCTTTCCATTTTGTAGCTGTTTAGCCTGTTTCTGTAGGACAGCTGATGTGAGTAAAGAGTGATGAGTCAGATGGATAACACGAGTAACACGAAGCTCCTCTCCTGCTTTTTCAGTTGTTTGTCCCAGTATGAGCGGCACGCATTCCGGTGACTTATGTACTCATCATGGGGAAGAAAAACACACTCTTTTAACCCCCCCCCCAACAGACCAATAGGTGAAATGTGTTTGCATTGGTCGGTACAGTATGCATATGTCGGAATGTGTTTCAACATGAGCAGTCCTACACACACAGGCCGTCGGTCGCACACATTCCGGTGTCATGGTCAAACGACTTGTCTTTCACACAGCTCATTCCTTAAAGCTGTCCGTCTCTGCTGGAACTGACAGCATATGGAAAACCCGTCTAAATGAGTCCACACATCAATTACATCAACGCATTCTCACCTCGCTCACCTCCCCCTGCCGCCTGCCTTTGCTTTTTTCCCCATCTCCATATCCCACATCCCTCCATTCATCACCTCTCCAGCACTTTGTACTCTCGTCCATTTTTCTGATCAGTCTTTTTTTCTCCTTTTAAGCTTTTTTAGCTTTTTTCTTTTTTCTTTAGTAAAAATTAAAGTAATTAAAAGATGGAATACTTTTACACCTATTGATTCTCAGTCGGATTTAACTGTGCTGGATTATGTTCTTTTAACCTTCGGGTCCCGTGCTTTAGAACCACAGATGTATGCCTTCTTAGAGTGTAGAATCAAGTTTAATCCACATAGAAATGTGATTTATGTAGTTATAAACTGTTGAAGAGAGGTGTTAGGACCTCTGTGAGGTAGTAATGTGCAGTTATCACCCCCAGCCGCATCCCGAGCAGGCGTGACCCCACAGCTTGCCGCTTAAAATGCTTAGATGGAGAAAATGATCTCTGCGATGTATTTCAAAAGATGTGTTTGAAAAAATTAAATAAGGAAAATTCAGTTTAACGTGGAATTTTTCCCAGAATTATTGAAAACTGAGTTTGTTACACACGTGTTTATATTTGCAAAGTAGAGGCAATGGTTTAAAAGAACCTCAGCATGTGCAACAGGGGCTTTGCCGTTTACTCGGAACCCGGAATCTGTCTCATTTTGCAGCATAAACTTCCTCATTTGGGTAAAATCCCCAACGCAATAATGGTGCGCTGCTCATTGAAACAGGCTCCAGCTTTGGGAGTTGCATTTGTGATTGACGTCGTCCCCTGAAATTAGATTTAAAATAAATTGGTATGCCAGAGCAGAGATTTTTGGAAGATTCCCCCCCCCCCATTCACGTCGGCATTAAGATACATGTCAGCATCCTCTTTCTTCCTGTCCTGAACAGGCATGCAGGAGTCGTTTTGTCTGCCTCAAAGCTTAGCAGCACAATTCACAGCGATGTGCTTAGGCCAAGATTTGGGTGGGTGTGTGTGTGTTTGTGTGTGTGTGTTAGTGGTGAAACCTTGACCTTGACAGTGGTTCCTAATGGAAGAGGCTGTTCTGTGAATGACTAAAACTCCCCCCACCATACAGAGGTATGTAGCAGCCCATAAAGCATGCTTACGTCCCTCTCTGATTTCAGGGAGTGGAGGCCTGACCCCGCCCCTTCCTCACACTCTGAAATAGCCACGTCCTTGTCCCCAACCGGAGCACAGTATGAGTCGAGGTGGGGGGTGTATATATGCAACCGTGGTTGATTGAGGAGCAGATTGCTGGTGACAGGTCACACCACGTTCCATCCCTCCTACCCCCCAGATT